GGTGGCATGGTGGAGAGAGCACCAGCCCTGCAGTCAGGAGGACCTGAGTTCAAATCCAACCTTAGACATTTGACACAACTAGCTGTGTGACCTTGGGCAAGTCACTTAGCCCCATTGCCTGGCAAAAAGAAAAAAATCAATTTTTCATGCCATACTTTCTCAGTAAATCTCTTTTCTAAAAGTTAATATGGTCTAGCTGACTAATTAGTAATGGGGAACACACCAATGGGGGCTCATGAACTACATACATACATACATACATACATACATACACACACACATATATATACATATACACACATACATACATATTAGTGCCAGTGAGAACTGAGAGCAATAAGGAGACTTGAGCCCAGAGATGGTGTTACATTAGTGTTCTTTATTTCTTGAAATCGCTTTGTATACATAATGGGGTTGATCTGGGAACCCTCTATGAAGCTGGACATATACTTTGGGCTCCTTGCTGAGATGACACAGCAACTCTATTGGGGGTTCCTGTGACTGCAGTATTGTGTTACATGTGGTTGGCCACTGATACTAGAAGAGTTACCCCCTCTGTTGTTTGTAAGAGTTTCTGAGGGTTCTCTCTCTTCTGGTATACATCTGGCTCTTTCTCTCCATTGGACATTTAACCTTCCCATCTTCTCCCCCAGGTACAGTAACTGCTATACATAAATGGCAGCGGGAAGATGTACTAGCCTAGGTGATCCTGGATCCCTGGCCCCCTTCTCTTCCTTGGGCACAATTTGTGACCAGAGACCAACTATCCTGAAAACTCTACTTTGCCACCCTTAGCAGTGACCCCATGGGTTGAAAATTTCAAGAATTCTGGAGTCCCACTTGGCCATTGGGAGTGATTTCTGCAACAGCACCACTCTTCATAGGGGGGAAGAAACACCACCAGTAGATTTCACAGAGTCACAGAATTTAAGAATTGGAAGTCTAGTCTAGTCTAACAATCCAGCTCTAATGAAAAGGAACCCCCACTACAACATGCCTCAAAAGTAGACATTCAGCCTTTGCTTGAAGACCTCTAAGGAAGGAAAACCCACCACCTCTTCAAATAACCTATTCCACTTTTGGACAGCTCTCATTGATAGAAAATTTTAACTGATATCAAGCCTATATTTGGTTCTTACTAATTTCCACCCATTGCTCTTCTTTCTGCCTGCGGGGGGCCAAACAAAACAAGTATAATCCCTCTTCTAGATGACATCCCTTCAAATACTTCAACACAATTATCCTACTTCTCCCCCTCCCACCTCCTTCCCACCCAAATCTTCTCTTCTCTAGGCTAAGCATTACCTTCTTATGTCATGGACTCAAAGCCCTTCACCATCCTAATTTCCCTCCTGTGGACACTTTGCAGATTATTAATGTCCCTTTTAAAAATTCCTTTTTTATGGATTATTGTATTGATCAGAGTAGCTGTCTTTCACAGTTGATTAAACTACAATATTACTGTTACTGTGTACAATGTTTGGGTTCTGCTCACTTCACTTTGTATCAGTTCATATGTCTTCCCAGATTTTTCTGAAATATCCCCTTGGTCATTTCTTGCAACAAAATAGTATTCCATCACAATGATGTACCACAACTTTTTCAGCCATTCTCCAACTGATGGACATCCCCTCAATTTCCAATTCTTTGTATTAATGTCCTTCTTAAAACATGGTGCCCCAAACTAAATATCATATTCTAGGTGAGGTCTGTTGAAGGGAAAGTACAGTGGAAATAGACTATTACCTCCCTATTTCTGGAAGCTGTGACTGTATTAATGCAGCCCAAGATTGTATTAGCTTTTTTGGTTGCCACATCACACTCATGCTGACTCATATTGGACTGGCAGTACACTAAAACTAAAAGTTGTTTTCGTTACAACTTGTTTTCTGTCTACACCTCTTCCATCTTATACTTGTGAAGTTGATTTTTTATATCCAAGTGCAAGACTTTACATTTATTCCTCTTGAATTTCATCCTATTAGGTTCAGCCCAGTACTCTAGCCTGTCAAGATTCTTTTGGATCCTGAATCAATCTTCCACAGTGTTCACTTTAATATAAAAATATTAAACAACATAAGGTCCAAGCCACGCCTTGGCTGGCCGGGAGGTCTGGACTTTATGAGTTTCTTGGCAGGTTCACCAAAGTGAATGCAAAGTATATTTGGCAGTCCCACAAAGGGGCTTTACTTTTTGAAGATAGTATGATATGTATACATGGCTAGTTGAGAAGTTTTATGTCTGTATTTTTCATACACACTTTTGAGTTATTTTGTGTTTTAAGTGTTTTCTATAGCAGAAAAAATTGTTGGCTGTCCAATTCTTGATATTTATAATGTATGTTGAGTTTGTAGATATAGACAATACATTCTATTGGTTGTATACCCAAGAAATTTTTCTTTTCTTTCAAGGTTGAACTTTTGTTGAATAATCATAACCAACATTATTTTTATTCATCAACCTAAAGAAGTAGAAACAGCTAAGCTTTTTTAAAAAATTTATCAAACTTTACCTAAAAATACAAACAAAAAACAAGACACAAAATATCATTTTTTTTGAGATACTGGGGTATTACTGGGCACCCCTGGCATTCCTTGTAGGCATCCTTGAGATTCGTTACCTTTTTCTAGAAGGGACCCTGTTACCTACTTTTATAGTGGATCCTGTAGTAAACATCACTAAGCTTTCTAGACAGTTCCCTTGAGTTACTCTGAGGTGGGGGCAATGATCCACTACCTTTGGGGTCAGGTGCCCCTGGGATGAATACCAGTCAACTTGAGCCCAGAGCTGGAGTCCCTTGGGGGAGAGGGGCCCCTGGTCTGTGAGTGACATATATGCTTTGTTCTTATTTATTTGTGTTCATGTTGATTCCCCCAAGTAGAAGATAAGCTCCTTGAGGGCAGAGATCATTTCATTGTTTTGTTTTTGTGTTCCTAGTGCCTAGCATATTATGCACACATCCCCTGATAAGCATTTATTAAGTGTCTACTATGTGCCTGGTACTATGCCAGGTGCTCAGGCTAAAAAGAGAAAGTAAATGAGTCCCGGTCCTCAAAGAGCTTCTACCTTCTACTGTGGGAGATAACATATACACAAAACATAAATACGAGGTTATTTGGGAGTAGAAGCCCACAACCTATATATGCCTTTGATCTTTTCTTTGATATCATTACCTTGGTGGTTTCATTCACTTCCATGGATGTTTAATCTTTGCAGATGAATCCCAAATCTATATCTCCACCACCAGTCTTTCCCAAACTTCTGATGACTTGCTGGATATCCCCATCTGGTTGTCGTGCTAGCGTCTCAAATTCAGCATGTCCCTCTACACCTGTTTATTAAGTGCCCATTATGTTTAGAGTCCTGGGAGGCATCTCACTGGAGTGGAAAGAACACTGGATTTGGTAATGGGATGACCTGGGTACAAATCCTGACTTTGCCAGTCACTAGGTGTGGCCTTGGATAAATGAGATTACCCCTCTGATAAACGAGATCACCTCTCCGAGTCTGTTTTCTCATCTGGGTAGTTTAGTCTGGCTAATCTCTAAGACCCCTCCTGCTTCCCTGATTCTGGTGTTCTGGGGGAAAGCATAATGATAAGTTAGGGCCATCTCCAGTTGTCCTGATCTGTATCTTGCCACTGGACCCAGATGGCTCTGGAGGAAAAGTGAGGCTGGTGATTTTGCATAGCCTTCCCTCACTTAAATTCAATTCACTTGCAAGTCATGGCATCACCTTCCTGATGTCATGGTCCTCTTCGAGAATGAAGGACAAATAACAACAGTGATAAATAAAGCTTCATCCTTACCCTCAAGAAGCTTATATCCTAGTAAGGGAAATTGGATTCATCTACAAATCATATACAAATATTAGCGTTCCTTAAGCACCCACTATGGGCCAGGCACTGGGCTAGGTGCCAGGGAAACAAAGACAAAAATTAATCCCTACTCTTAAGGAACTTGTAGTTTTTTGGAGGGGGTAAGGAGGAGGGGAAGAGAATATGTACACATAGGGTGTTCCAAAAATCTTAGTGCAGATTTAAGCTATTAAAGCTTAAGATATTTAAGCTTAAAAGTGCATTAAGACTTTTGGAACACTCTCTGTACGTAAATAGATTCAGGATAAATCAGTACAGAATAAATATAAATGAAATGTATGACAGTTAAACACAAGGTAGTTAGGGAGAGAGGGCACTAGCAGTTGGGGCGATTGGGAAAGGCTTTATGTAAAACAAGGGGGTACTTGATCTGCATCTTGAAGGAAGTGAGGAATTTATTGGCTCAACAAACATTAATTGAGTACTTATGTGGCAAGGTGCTGAGGATACAAAGATAGATACAACACAAACCCTGCCCTCAAGTAGCTTACATTCTACTAGAACAGAAATCTATATACACAAATAACATGATAGAAAAGAGAGTAATAAGGGTAATATTTTCCCCCAGAACACTAGAATCAGGGAAGCAGAAGGGGTCTTAGAGATTAGCCAGTCTAAACTACCCAGATGAGAAAACAGACTCAGAGAGGTGATCTCGTTTATCAGAGGGGTAATCTCATTTATCCAAGGCCACACCTAGTGACTGGCAAAGTCAGGATTTGTACCCAGGTCGTCCCATTACCAAATCCAGTGTTCTTTCCACTCCAGTGAGATGCCTCCCAGGACTCTAAACATAATGGGCACTTAATAAACATCTACTGACTGTCCAATGAATCAGGCCATTCAGCGGTCCATTAATACCTGTGAGTGACAGCTGGGTTTGTAACAAAGACCCTGGGGCTCTGGACTCAGAGATTGTCAGACAAGTTGTGCAATAGAGTTTGAAAACAGAACTTGCTGCAACTTTGGAGGAATGAGGGGGAGGAGAGGAAATCATTCCATTACTAACTCTGACAGAGAAATGAAGACAGATTCACCCCTTTGCCCGCCGGGTAAGGTGTATGCCCTTTATTTGCAGATAAGGAAATCACTTGGCTCCAGATTTATGATCTATCTGGAGCATTGTTTAAATGCATTGCTAAATTCACTTCCTGGACCTGTGTGTGAGAGGGCTGTGTGTCAGTACACTCACCGACAAGCCCCGGGAAGGTTGTCTGCTCCCAGGGCACACATACACGCTAATTTTCAGCCTCTCCTTTTCTTCCTCCTCTCCTGCCTGATCCTGCCTGGCCCCCATAGTGAGCTCCAGAACTCTCTTTGCATGGGACCAGGCTGGAGAGCTTCAGTTTTCTTTGTCCAACCTTCAGCCTTTTGGGGAAAAGCCTCCTCCAGGTTAGAAGAATGCACAGGTCGAGAACCATAGGCAAGATCAAGAAACGCCTCCAAGAGGTCAAGAACCAATGGAGCCGGCTGACCAAGGTGGATTTCAGTCACAATGAAAGTGCCAGGTTGGCCATGGACGCCCTTCTGGATGGCGGCCTGGAGTCATACCAGAATGCCTTGAGCAAAGAGGGGGAGGTAGACTTCCTGTCCTCTGTGGAAGCCCAGTATATTCAGGAGAATGCCAAGGAGCCCTATTACTCCAAGGAAGCCCCCGTGGAGGGAGAGCTGGGCCTCAAAGTGAATGACTCCAGTTCTCTCCAGTCTGGCACCTATTTCCCCATGCTATCTGAGGGCAGTGAGCCGGCCCTGCCACAGAGCTGGAGTGAGGCCCAGAAGCCTTACCTGAAGGAGAAATCCAGCGCTACCGTGTACTTCCAGACAGACAAGCACAACAATATCAGGGACCTCATCCGCCGATGCATCAGCAAGACCAGTCAGGTAGAGAGGGGGCCACCTGGGTCTGCTTGACACAAGGGGGTCAGGCCTTTGTTCTCTCCAGAATGTGTGTGTGTACAGGGGAAGGGGAGGGGGAGGGGGAGAGCAGGGACGGGGCATGGAGCTGGGGCTTAGAACACCTGTCCAGGTACATTTCACACTGGACTCTGAGGAGCCCTGGAGCCTCAACTTCTTTCTATCGGTTCAACTTGGTGTGTGACGACTGTAGCTGTTTTCCCGACCTGATAAAGTGTAAGCTCCTCAAGGGCAGGAGCAGTTTCCTTTTCATTCTATTTTTTTAGTCTCCTGTGCCTGGTACACAGTAGGCAGTAGTTTAATTGGTCTTAATTGATTGATTAGCTCAGGTGCCTCCCTTTGCTTAGCGAGGCAGCAATAAAAGAATATCACGACAGATACTGTGTAGTGCTTTTGATGCTCACGAAGTACTTTACACATATTATACCATTTGACCCTCACAGCAGCCCTGTGAGGGAGGTGCTTGATTTAGGCCTGGAAGGGACCTTGGAGGTAACAGAGCCCAGGCAGGAGCTAAGGACCTAGGGGAAGTGACTTGCCCAGGGTCACACAGATAGTAAGTGACCGAGGCAGAATTCTAACCCAGGTCCTCTGATGCCAAATCCAATGTTCTTTCCATTGTACAACAGGAAGCCGAGGCTCTCTGATTTACAGCTCATAGGATTTGAAACTGGCAGGGAGGGGAGGCACCTTAGAGATCTGTTTTACAGATGAGGAAACTAAGTCACAGAGAAATTAAGGTCATATACCTACTAAGTAACAAAACCTGCAGTGAAACTCTCTCTCAGGGCAAATATTTGAAACTCTCAGGTCCTTCAGTTTTCTCATCTGTAAATGATTCTTTTTCAGGACAGCACACTAGAGACTCAGATTAGAAAAATTATTATCATTTTAAGTCACCCCCAACTTAGCCAATCCAAAGCCTACATTCCCCCAAATTGTTGCTGGGCTCTGAGAGTGGTCTTGGATCCCAGAAGACCCGGGTTCAAGCGTCTTCTCTGTCATAGGCCGGCTGTGTGACCCCGGGCAATTCATTTAACTTCTCCGGACCTCAGCTTCCCCCTCTATAGAACAGGGATAATAATAGTACCCATTTCCCAGCATTGTCGTGAGGCCCAAATGAGGTAGCATTTGTAAAGTGCTTTGCAAATCCTAAAGTACTATATAAATGCTAGCTATTATTATTATTAGGTATCCAACCTTGAGCAAGTTCACCTTACTTCCCTAGCCTCAGTTTCCTTCAAAATAGGGCTATTAATACTTGTGATGCTTACCTCAGGGGGTCTTTGTGAGGATGAAAAGAGGTGATTCAGAGTACTTTGTCCACCTTCACAGAAACATTAGCTAGTATTTATATATATTTGTACACACACATACATGTGTACAGACATATGTATGCACATGTACACATACATGTACATATACATATACATATACTAAACCCTTTGAAGACCCAGAAGAATAACTACTCTGATGGTGGCATTTCAGACACCATGATAGGCAGTGGGGGAAATCACATAAGAAAAGTCATCCCTCTCAAATCACAGGACATCACTGTCGGGGCCAGCTGTGCTCCTCGCCCAGTGCTCTGACATCCTGTCTGTGGTGAAAGTGACAGAGATAGAGCTTACAAGAGTGTAAGCTCCCTGAGGGCAGGGACTGTCTTTTGCTTCTTTTTGTATCCCCAGCACTCAGCACAGTGCCTGGCACATACGAAGTAGGTGCTTAGCAAATGTTTATTGATTGTTGTCCTTCCACATAAATCTATACCGACTATGACTCTGGTGTCCATTCATGAAATATGTTTGTCCTCATTAGAGAGGATGGATCATTCTGCATCTTTTTTTTTTTTTTGCCTTTCTCTCTGCCTTTTGTCTTTTGTCTGTCTCTGCTAAAATTGGCATACAATTTGCTTTTAGAGCTGAAAGGAGCCTTAGAAATCATTTGGTCTGAGCCCCACCTTTTAAATGTTTGAATGTGGTTTAGAGTAACTCACGGGAAGAAGACACGCTGCTTTGTCCCTTACACAGGTCTTTGCAAATTGGTTTCTGTGCTGAGGTCAGTCTTAGGCAAATATTTGAAACTCTCAGGTCCTTCAGTTTTCTCATCTGTAAAATGGGGCTAATACCTGGAGTACCTACATCAGAAGGTTGCTAGTCGGGCTTTGCAAACCTTAAAGTGCTATGTAGTTTGCTATTGGAGAAGCCGGCTTAGGGGACCTGGGGGGTTCTTTGGCTTTTCACCGAAGGAACCACAATTTATCTCAACTGTGTTTTATGTTTCTGTGACCACATGATTCGGTGCTGATAGATGAACACAATGCGAATGGTGTATTTGGGAGAGTCTGGACAGGGAGTTAAGAGGTTTGAGCTCCGGCTCTGTCCCTGACTTTCTTGTATGACCTTGACCAAGTGCTTTAACCTTTCAGGGGCTCAGTTTCCTCATCTGTAAAATGGGAACTAAAAATCTTGTGGCACTGTGAGTGATGATGAGAGACGTACCTTAGGAAGCCCTAGGCTCAGTAGAAGGATTTAGCGGACTGGATTTGGAGTCCAAGGACCTGGCTTTGAACACTGGCTCTGCTAATTAATAATCACACTTTAAGGCTTGCAAATCATTTTACATAAATGATGAAATTCAATCCTCACAACAACCCTGCCAAGATTCCAGGCAAGGCCACACTTCTCAGTGAGCTTTCCCTGGTCTCTCTCCCCTATAGCCGCCAACCTCCAGTTCCTAGAATCTTCCCCTCTAAGGTTGTTTTCCACCTACTTTACTCTGCATGTATCTTGTATGTGCCAAGCTCCTTAATGGCAGGGATTGTTTTGTCCTTTCTATCCCCAGTTCTTTCTGTTGTTCAGTTGTTTTCAGCCACACCCAACTCTTCATGACCCCATTTGGGGTTTTCTTGGCAAAGATAATGGAGTGGTTTGGAGCTCATTTTACAAATGAGGAAACTGAGGCAAACAAGGTTAAATGACTTACCCAGGGTCACACAGCTAGCAAGTTTATGAGGCCAGATTTGAACTCATGAAGATGAGTCTTCCTGATTCCAGGTCCAGCACTCTATCCACAGTGCCTCCTAGCTGCCCCATCCCCAGCTCTCAATTCTTGATAAATTCTTGTTGATCCATTGATAAGGTGCTATTATTATCCCCATTTACAGATGAGGAAACTGAGGCTCCAGTAAATTAATTAGCTTGCTTTTACAGGGTGCACAGTTAGTGTCTCAGATAGAATTTGAACCCATGCCTTCCTGACTCCAAGTGAACATTACCCTAGGCAAGTCTCTTTACCTATCTAGATCTCAGTTTCTGGTCTGTAGGATGAGATTAGAGTGGATGACTTTCTAGCTCTAAATCTCTGTGGTGGCCTATCACTGGAGGTGTTCAAATGGAGACCAGTCGGCCACTTTGGGGGAATGTTGTAGAGGTAATTCTTGTCCAGGTTAGACCTGGTGGCTTCTGAAGGTCCTTCCAAATCTTTAATTCTGTGAACAGGGACAGGGCACAGGGGCTGGGATATGTGACTTCATCAGTGTAGGGAATTCCCAGGTGAGGAAACTCTGCACCGATGTGCCTTCTCTGCAGCTCACAGCCAGAGCGCCTGTTATGGGCCAGGCCCTGTGTGAAGTCCTGGGGATACGAAAAGAGGCAAAAGATAGTCCCTGCCCTCAGGGAGCTCACAGTATAACTGGGCGATGATCTGCAAACATCTATGTACACTCGAGACTTACCGAATAAATCGGAGACAGCCTCAGAGGGAAGGATCAGAACAGGCTTCTCTTACGAGAGGGAATTTTAGCTGGGATGTCAAGGAAGTCAGGGAAACCAAAAGGAAGCGATGAGGGGGGAGAACATCCCGGGCACATGAAATGCCCAGTCAGGAGTTAGAGTGTGACTTGCTCCGGGTCACAGAACCAGAGGCCAGGTTTGATCCTGATTCCCAGGCTTGGCTCATTCCACTCTACCACGGCCAACATCCTAGAACGGTCTAGAAACGTGTCATCCGTATTGTGCTCCGAGTGCTTTTGGTATCATGGTATCAACACCAGTCACTCATAAAGCCCTTAATCCCCCTCCCTTACCCCTTCCAGCAAAAGGGAACTTTCTGCCACCTGGGAAGACCTCTGAGGAGGCACCTGCGGACAGCAGGACCCTTCCCCGCAGAAGGGGCCCTTCTCTGACCCAAAGTGCCCCCGTGATTTTGCCCCCGAACTTGCCCCGGATAATGCTACCCCTACCACAGACCTTCCTGTTTTTCCAGTCTTCTTACACAGTTCCCCCAGCCCCCAGCCCGCACGTACTCTGTAACACAGACACACCGACCGGCCTCCTGGCTATGCCTCCATCTCCCGGCTCCGGGAGTTTTCCGCGGCGGTCTCCCCATGGCCGGAACGCTCTCCCTCCCCATTTCTAGGCTTCCTTCCAGCCTCAGCTAAAGCCCCACCTTCTGCAGTCCGCTTTTCCCAGGCTGCCTTCATCTTAATGCCTCCTCATTGAGACTGCCCCCAACTCATCCGGGAGCTATCTGATTTCTGCAGAGCTGCTTGCATGCCGTGTTCTCCCTTAAGACCGGGAGCTCCTGGGCGGCAGGGTCTGTCTTTTTGCCTTTCTTTGTATCCCCAGCTCTTAGCAGAATGCCTGGCTCACAGCAGGCACTTAATAAATGCTTGTTGACTTGACGACAGGAAGCAGGACCTCCGGTGACAGGGAGGGCGCAGTCATGAGCGGAAAAATGTCCTGGAACCAGCCTTCTCTTGTCATAGCCACTGAGCATTGCTGAGCTGGCATCGGGCCCCGGGCCAACTGCCCAAGGGCGGCTCAGCCAGGAGGGTTACAAAATGCTTCGGAGTGAACTAATGCAATCTTACGAAAGTCTGTTCAGCCCCCAAGGAGCGACCGTTTCTGTGCCATCCACACCAATGACCAGAACGCAAAGCCGGCCAGCCCCGATGCTCACAGAAG